TGTCCAGGCGGAGGCGACCTTCATGTTCGCACCAGTCTGCAGGGACCTCTCAGCCTGTTCACCAGGACTGTGTCCTGAGATGGTCACAGTGATGGATATAGGAGCCACAGGAGCAGAGACAGGACTGTTCCTGTAAGACAAAGGCATCAAGATCGGCTTTAGCAGGTGGTAGAGAGACTCGAAAGCTAAAGAGATCGTGCAGTGGGGAAGGAGGAAAATCAGTGCTCATATAGAAATGGACGGTAAAGACAGCAAGGCATAGCTAAACCGAACACGTCTGAGCAATAAGTAGACAAATTTTGTGCAATAAAGTGGTTGGTAAGAGAAGTGATAAAGAGCTACATGGAAAGCCCTGGCCAGGTGGCTCAGTTGATTGGTGCATCATCCCAGACACCAAACTGTGGTGGGTTCGATCCCCGGTCAGGGAGTGTACAGGGGGCAACAGATCAATGTTTCTCACTCTGTCCCTCTTGCTCTAAAAAAAAAATCAATAAACATATCTTTGGGCATCATCTTATGGTTATTGAAATTGTCAAGAAAGGGGTGACATACATGTAAATGAAATAATTTAAAACAAGAAATATTTCTAAAAATCTTAAGTGCCAGGATTTACATGAAAATGTCTTCAATAATTGCCTGCATTTAACCTATAACTTATAATAATAAAAGCGTAAATATGCAAATAGACCAAACAGCCAAAATGCAGAATGACCATCCGGATGACCATGCTATGACAGGCCCTGGTGCCAGGCCAGCCAAGGCCGGTGCAATGCCATTGGTCGGGGGGCCCGCCATCACCCCAGGATCACCTCACAGAGGGAGGCCCAGGCCACACTCTGCAGGGCGATTGATTGGGGGGCTTTGTGGAACCAGAGAATTGTGGGGGTGTGGTTGTGGACAAAGGCCAAGGTGGGTGTAGGCAAGGGGCGAGGCCTTGCAGCCAAGACTGTGAGGGCCCCAGCAGCAGGGACTCAGGGCCTACCTTGCACAAATTTCGTGCCTCGGGCCTCTAGTTATATGATAAGAAACTTATAGGGAAACAAAGTGGCCAATGCGCACCTACCAGCCGGTCTCCTTGGTTGTTAATAAGGAAGCGTTGAGCTTGCTGACCTTTTGCAAAGAATATAGAGTTAATGTACAAGAGAAGCACAGTCACTGGATGCAGTCCCAGCCTCTGCTACAATGAGAGAAGTACAGGCCACAGTGTGGGGTTTTGTTGTTATTGTTTTGTGGTTTACTAATTTTATTTTAATTATTTTTTATATTTTCCTCCTTATATTTCTTTTTTCCCTTTATGTGCTTCCATCACCATTTATTCTCCCTCTACCTTCTTCCACCTCCCCCTCCGCCCTCACCCCCAGGAGTTCTTTCTCTTTTTTCTTTCTATTTTGCTCAATCCCTTGGCCCCAGATGTTTTCAAGTGGGTTGTTCCAGATGCCACAACAAAGCAGAGCCTTCAGAATTAGCTTCCCCATTAACATGTGAGGAGCTACAGGCACCTGTTCCCTGGGACACAAGGAGCAAGAAGGCCTCACCTGTGTCCTGACTCCAGGGTGGTGGTGTCACGAAGTGACCAGGGCACCATGATGCTTAGATCTTCATGCTGGAAGATTTACTGGAAATAAATTATTCAATTAATATATAACCAAATACACTGTAAATTTTACTGCTCCAACAATCACAGACAGATGTAGGAACTTCTACAAACAAATTACTGGGAGGGGACGGTACAGAAAATAAGTAGATATAGACAGTGCAAATCAGAATTAAAGTAACAGCATTATCTTAATGTATCAGTTCAATGCTACATCCCATACCAGGGTTGTCTCATTTTTTTAGCCTCCCCATTAATCCAGCTAGAATTTGAATTATTCCCGAGTAGGGGTTAATATATTATTTATAGCCTTTACACTCATGCTAAGTTGTGCATTTTCACCCCTACAAGGATAATAATTCGGTCAGATTTATACAAAAGCAATTTAATTGTATAACATATCATTATGTTAAAATAAACTTTTTATATTTTTTTCACAGACTTGAGTCAAAGGAGCCTTTCCTATCTGTTGGGTGAGTATATGTCTAAGTATTTTACATCTCAATTCTTTAATCAATTTTTAATTCAAATTACCAAGGTTTGCTGAGATTGTGTTTCAGTCATTTAATTCCATATTCAGAGTCTTACCACATCTCTGGGTCCATCATTTCTTCAGCGGCATCAATACCTCCATTTTATAAAGACTTACATTAAATGCACCCTAGGCTGTTCTGTGACCTCAGACATTCTGCTGACAACCGCCTGTGAAACACTCTATCCCGATGAGCACAGGGTAGACTAATCATCTCTATTCTCATCATGTAAACATGCTCAGTCAGGTTCTAACCTTCCTCTGAACTACAGCGTCATGTTTCCTGTCCGCCCACCTTTGCTGTTTTCTTTCCGTCTTCTCTGCTTAGTGTTTCTTTTGCCAATTTCTCTAACTCTATCTCCAAAATCTATCTTTTCTCTTTTTTTCTCATTTCACTTTTATTTCTCCACTCCATTCACACTAACTGGCTCCCTGACCACAGAGCTGGTGGTATCGTCCTGAGTCAAGATACATGGTCCAATGGTCATATATTGTGGCAAGAACACATGGATGATCTTCGGGCATTTCAAACTAATTGTTCTTAACGGATCTGTCCAGTAATCCCTTGACTAATATATTAAAGGATTATTAATGTACTAGTCACTTTAGGACATTCTAATAGTCAGTCCAAGGTGAGCACTTCTGTATGCTTGGCATTATGTCGATGCTGTCGAGTCGCAGAGGAGTTGGAAGAGGTGGTGTCTCGCTCTGAGGAGGTTGTGTGGCATTTGATGAAAAACCAATCACATCTGGGGTCCACTGTACTCACGCTCGGTAACCAGGACACGGGTGGGGTTAGATTCTGAGTGACAGCATCCATTTTCGTTTTTTATGTCTTTGTTCATGGCCTTTGAATATTTCTGTTACTCCTTGAGCGCCATGGTTCCCTCCCCTTCTACTCCTCATAAAAGCATCTCAGAAAGTCACTTGAATCACAGTAGTCAAAATAATTGCTTGGGAAGCGGGGGAATAGAAAGGAGCAGGTGATTTATTGGAGGACTTCATGAAAAATGGAAGGTCAAGGTGATCTGGTCCAAAGAAATCACTAGAGCGCGCTTCCTTCCCTCATTGGTTACCCGCTGCTGTTGTTAGGCATCGCTAAGCCTTTCATTCGGAATGCGTGTGTGTCCTGCCCTCGGTCAACGGGGTGAAACAGCTTTTCTTCACGCCTCACTTAGTGCACTTTCTCAGCGGCGTTCCGTCCTCCCACTGGCTGAAATGGAAGTCATTTATTATTGCACACCCTCCATAATCTTTGTTCTAAACTTATTCAGAGTTTAGAACTCAGTAGTAGAGCCCCGAGAAAAAGTTTCCAAAGAAGAATGATTTATAACTCAGCAAATACTCAACATGGGAAAACTGACATAGCAGATGATGACATGACTTAGATATGACTTATGTATGACTTATGTATGAATTAGACATAAAGGGAGTATGACTTAGATATGACTTAAAATTACTTAAGTGAGATTTAGATATGAATTAGGTGTGACATATATGACTTAGGTATGAATTAAGTATGACTTAGATGTGACAGAAACAACTTAGATATGACTTAGGTATGACAGGCATGACTTAAGTATGATTTAGACATGACTTAGGTATGATTTAGATGTGACTGAAACATAACAGATATGACTTAAATATGACTTAGAAGTAAAGTGGGTTGAAACATACACCCAAATGGCTCTGCTGACTGGACATTTTATGTCATAGTGAAATTTCTCCATTTTCCTCCAAGGAAATGATTTTAAATAAAATTGTCCAAAAGTATGTACGAATCTTTCCTGACCCTTTTCAGTGAGAGAGCAGGGTAGTGGTGACTATGAGGCACACACGAGCCTACCAGGCAACAGGTAATCTACCGCAAGAAACATATATTCAAAGTCGTGACTTTTATCTCAGTTGCTTGCCAAAGGGACTAAGAGCATGGTGTGTGGTCCATGATATCGTGGGCACGTGACTATATAACATAGGACCCTGCACACCTCATGGACATTCACTTTAATTCTGTGTTGAATAAAAACTCATCTTAGTGAATAACGCAGTGTTAAATATTGCATACTCCAGCCCACCGCCTGCCAGTGCCTTAAAAAGGTGCTACTATGTACATTTAGAAACTGCTTCCACCTCCTTGCCCCTGATCCTCACAGACAAGCTCTATTAGTTTAGGCAGTTATTTCAACCCACGCTTCAGGTCCTTATTTGTGAAATAGAGAATCAATAAGAACATGTGCATCATGCATTTAGCTCCATCCGTGGTGCGTAGGTAGGGACTGTTGGAATGCCAGCTCTCCTTGCAGCCCTAGAGGCGCGTTCATGTTGTGCCAGAGAGTCAGAGAGTGAGCGCTTTCTGCAGGCCATGCTTGGAGCTACATGTGGAAATCAACGAAGTTTTTATAAAGCAGAGAAAAATAAAACTTGTGAATGAAATAAGCTATCAAACATGAGCACATATATTCTGTTTCATATTTCAATGATGAACATTAATAATTGTCATTTAAATTCCTTAGATAAAAAGAAATGTTGATACATTTTGATGCGCATCTCTTCTTAATGTAAATATGGGAACAAATTTTCTCAGATAAATGTGCTGCAGAAATTATGAAATAGCATTTTTAGTTTTTAAAATAGATTTTTATTAATTTCAGAGAGAAAGGGAGAGGGAGAGAGAGAGAAACATCGTTGAGAGAGAAACAGCCATCGGCTGCCTCCTGCACACCCCCTACTGGGGATCGAGCCTGCAACCCGGGCTTGTGCCCTGACCAGGAATCGAGCCATGACCTCCTGGTTCATAGGTTGATGCTCAACCACTGAGCACACTGGCCAGGCATGAAATAGCGTTTTTAAATGACAACATAAAATCAATCAGAACATACTCATGGAAAATTTTGTCATAAACAGTTGTAACACAAGGAAATACGTGCTTATAGAAAAGCTCAGGGAATTGTGAAAGGAAATCGGTGATCTCAGACCTTCAGCTCTAGGCTGATATAAGAACCTTTACATTCACAAGTCAGTGATGAATAAATAATGTCATTAGGAAAATAAAAAATAGCCCTGCTGGTTTGGCTTCATGGATAGAGCATCAGCCTGAGGACTGAATGGTCCCAGGTTTGAATCCAGTCAAAGGCACGTACCTCAGTTTCAGGCTCGATCCCTGGCCCCAGTCAGGGCCCTTGAGGGAGGCAACCTATCAATGTGTCTCTCTCACATTGATGTATCTCTCTCTCTCCCCATCCCTTCCACTCTCTCTAAAAATAAATTGAAAAAAATATTCTCACGTGAGGATTAATTAAAAAAAAGAAAGAAAGGAAAATAAACAATAAACGTTAGCCTAGCACGAAGCCTGAAGGCTCATTTGACAGTCTGATGCTGTTTCCCGGGGTGGGTCAATGCATACGGTGGTTTCCATGGCTACCTGGCAATTCTGGTCCCGCCAGGCCTCAAAACCCTGCCTGCACCAAGCCTGCATCCTCCCCATCCTCCCCTTATGCCCGCACGCACGTTGTCCTCACAGACATTCATGGTCTCGGGATCGCTTCAGAAAAGCCTGTGGGACCTAACTTTGCACAGCCGCTCCCTGCTTTGAGGCGCATTGGGGGGAACACATTGATGAAGACCTGTCTGGGCTCAGCCTGGGCAGCCAGGAGGTAGAGACCAGAAGGTGTGCCTCGGAGTTTGCAAGGGCCTGTGAGCGCGCTGCCTGCGCGCATGCGCACGAAACTCACTCTGACATCAACCCAGACCTCAGGTTGGTGCTGCACTAAACCTTAGATGTTAAATTATTAAACAATATAATTTAAATACTTAATAAGTGGTTTATTAAATATTAATAACAATGTTTCATTTTCAAATTATTATAAATATATCTCATATAAATGCATGATTTATATGTAATATGTATTACGTATATAATTTATTATATATAATATAAAATACTTTTCTATAAATAAAATAATTTTAATTAAATTCACAAATTAAAATGCTTTCCCCTCTCACCGGACAATAAAAAGTGCCAGCTGCGCTGCCTTGACCTTCAGCGCAGAGCTCAGGCCTGCGCCAGCGGACCGGTCAGTCAGCGCGCTGTGCTGCGTGTCCTCCCGGCGTTACACCTGGAAGCGATGCCGAGAACGTCCTGGCAAAGGCTTCCCTCTGTGGCAGCAGGTGGACTCTGATTTGGGAAGTGAGCGGGAGAAGAGCAGCATCGAGTCCGCGCTTGGAAAAGAATAAGGACTGAGTGGTTGATCCAGTTAAGACTCCAAAACCAGAATCTTAGTTTAAGACCAGTTTTGCCTGGAAAACGGTTTCCCAGCTTCTTAATGGACAGCACAGAGGAGGGGAGAAGGGTTGCTGTTCCTGGCGGTTGGAGAGGACGATGTCGAGGTGCCCGTTGGGGCAGCGTGTGAGTCCTCAGGGGAGAGTCATGCTTCCCACACACTGAGTGGTTTTAACAACATACTCAAGGCATTAAATGAAACCTCCAGGGAATTAGTTCACCTCACCTCGTCAGCATGAAGCTGACCTTTTAAAGCAGTGGTTCTCAACCTTCTGGCCCTTTAAATACAGTTCCTCATGTTGTGGTGACCCCCAACCATACAATTATTTTCGTTGCTACTTCATAACTGTATGTCACTACTGTTATGAATCGTAATGTAAATATCTAATATGCAGGATGGTCTGAGGCGACCCCTATGAAAGGGTGGTTCGACCACCAAAGGAGTCGCGACCCACAGGTTGAGAACCACTGTTTTAAAGGGAAGACTTTGCATATGAATTGATTGCATTTTGGAACTGAAACTTTGATTCACACCAGTTGTTCGGCAGATGAATTTCTGCATGAGTAGCTTGATTGTGAGAATGATTATTTATTGCATGGGCAAACACCTTTTTCAGACTTTTTCACTGATGTAGAATAATTTAAATAACTCAGGCTATTTA